TTTTCTGTAAAGTGCCAGTGGAAGTTCTCAAAGAAGGGGTTCTCAAACTGTGGGTGAGGGTCTAAAAAAGGGGTGCAGACTGTTTCAGTGCAGTACAGTCTGCTTGGCTTATTTTACACCTAAATGAATATTAATCAGATCAAATGGGGCTAGATCTACAAAAACATTGATATATATGTGCCAAAATAACTGTAAAATACAAATAAATGTAGAAAATGATAAAGATGGTCTTGATTTGGTCTTGATGGGCAGTGGTCTTGTCTCAGTCTCGACCTTTAAAAGTCTTGGTCTTGTCCTGGTCTCGGGACCCTGTGGTTTCGGACAGGTCTTGGTCTCGATTAGTGTGGTCTTGACGACAATTCAATTCAATTCAAGTTTATTTATATAGCATATTTAAAACAACTTCTGCTGACCAAAGTACTTCACATACAAGTCAACAAAATAGAAGAAACAGTTACTTAGAACACTAAGTACAATGTTATGTTTTACCATGTTTTGGCTGTTTGAACATACGTGAACCAATTACTGACCACCTGCCAGCAACTGAAACTATATTGGCAAGACCCAATTTTGTGATTTCATGGACACCAGATGACCTTCCTAACTCAACCAACCACTCTATGTACACTGTTACTGTAATGAGCAATGCAGTTGAGTTGAATTGCTCAAGGACACAACAGCAGTATGCACTCAGACCGGGTTTGCAGTAGCCAGCCTCTGACTGATGGGCGTGCACTTGACCCACTGTGCCACTGTTACTTGTATTTACTTAACTGTGTGAAAAAACAGAACGATTCAGATTCAGTCTTTTATCTCAGAGTCACGGGTCATTGCCGCAAAACTGTTTGTATACATTATTCATACAGTTATTTTGAAGCTATTGTTGACACAGCAAGCCCACCCGTCTCTAACTTCTGTCTTCTTTCAAGCGCAATCTGCAAAGACAGTCTAAATGTGAAACAGCAAATCTTCGGAATCTGCAATCCGCTCACTCAGCTAGCATCTCGCCGTCTTTTCAAACTCTCTTTTGTTTAGATTCCTTCTTGCTGACATCGTATTAACCGTGCCAAGACTTCTCCATATGTCTCGCAAATAAAAAGACTCAAAAACAAGGAAAAACCAACCCCCCCGAGAAGCACCTGAAAGCACCGTTTTCCATCTGCTGGTTAATTATGACTGACTCCGCGTCTCCTTCAAAGGCGGTGGGAAAAGTGAGGAAAGCGAGAGAGGTGTTGCTGTGTTTGTTTCTTCATGTGTAAAGGGCATATTCAAATCCACACACGCCTGACATAGTTATTTGACAAAAGGCTGCAAAACAAGCTAGAAAAGAATGGGATTGCATTATATTATTCATGTAAACGCAAGGAGTATGTTAATAGTATGGAAATGTTTTGTGTTTTTCTACTAAAAATAGAATTAAGTGCAAAAGGGTTTGACAGAGCTAAGCCAAGGTGACTGAATAACATTAGCTTCATAATCCTTATACAGAAAAATTAACATTATATATTGATTGTTTTACAATAATTTACATACATTCCTAAGATAATTTTCTCATTTTTAAATATTATTTTTCTTTTAGCTATAATTAGAGGTGAGTAGTTGTCAGTTACATTTACTCAGTTACATTTACTTGAGTAACCTTTAAAGAAACTGTACGTTTCAGAGCAGCATACTTTTATTCTAACTTGAGAAATATCTTTATTGAAGTGACAGTACTCTTGAGTAAATGTTTTGGTTACTGTATTTTTCGGACTATAAGTCATTTAGATTTAGTGATTTGGAGTGAGATCGAGAGTTTGGTAAACTTGTTATGTTGTTTATGCTGTAGTTATCTGAATAACTGTTCATATGTTACGTTAACAATCTGTTGTTCTCTGTTCTATTGTTATTATTACTATCACTTAGCCTGATTCATCAGCTGGTTTCACTTTGTGGAAACCGTCTGTAGCATTAGGATTTGTTTGCTCAATGGTAGGTGGGTACTTTTTTTCATTTAACCAATCGCTGCTATTTGGTCATGACATATGTAATGTGCTGCTAATGGGGCAAACTTATTTTATTAGATCCATGGGCTAACTAGTAAATTAAGCTTTTCCCATTTCTCATTTCTTGATGAAATTCACGAAACATACTCTTTGTTCTGGCTTTAAATCCTCAATCTCGATAATTGTTGCCAACACAGAATGTCTGGCTCTTTCCTGATTGGCTGGTGCCCGGACTTGAATTTCAAGGGTTTTTGCGAACTATCTAGTGTATTCCAATTCCTGACCTTGTCGCTGGAGAGAAATGAAATTGAGTGGAGGCAATAGGTGGCACCAGCCTGGCTAACCTTAACTTGCCTTTCAAGATGAAATGTCGGTTCCTGGTCTCTGAATTAATAAAATTTATTTCCTCCAAAAAGTGCAACTTATAGTCCAGTGCGACTTATACATGTTTTTTTCTTCTTCATTATGCATTTTCGGCTGGTGCAACTTATACTCTGAAGCAACTTATAGCCCAAAAAATACGGTACTTTCCCCACTGTGAGTAAATCTATAAATGACAAAAGCTTTATGTTGACCATATGAAATGATTTGAACAATTGTGTTTCCTGCACTGCTCCTTCAGATATGATTTAGTTTGTCTCATTTTTGTCTATCATTTTCATTTATGTGCATTATTATTATTTATACAGTATATTTTGTTCTTCAAATTACATTAACTTTACATAACAAATCAGATGTTACGTCCTGACAGTTACTCTTTATGTTACTCTTACTTGAGTAGTAGTTTTTCCAAATACATTTTTACTCTAGTTATTTCTTGGACTACTACTTTGTATTCTACTTGAGTAATATTATGAAGTAACATTACTTTCACATGAGTACAATTTGTGGTACTCTACCCACCTCTGGCTACACCATACCACAATTTCTGATGAACGCTTACAGACTTTTACCTAACTTTTATTTCTTGTAGTTCAGAAAAACACAGTTAACTCTGTACAGTCTATTGTGAAAGCAGTTGTTAGTGAGAAAAAATAAATTGCTAATCAATTTAAAACACTTCAGAATAAGGACCATGCAGAAACAAGTGCTGACGACTATCCCTGGCAGTTGTTTCTCTCATGGCTCAAATGCAAAGTGAGAGAAGAGTTAAAGTGGGAGTGGCAAACAGTTAATTCAGAAAAAATCCCTCACGTTCAAAATGAGGTTCATGCATTATTTGACTTGCCTTGATTGGCCTTTGCTATATTTAGTCACAGCCAAAAATATATAAAACTCCTAATTCCATCTCACACTGGGCAGATATTTCTTTCAAGCACTAAGGCGGCCATTTTGGGGAGTATTGCCGGTTGCGTTTTTATTTATTCATATACATTCTATCTTAAGCCAGTCCTGAGGTCCACTACATTTCTTATGCATGTTCTCTCTCTCCATCTTTTCTCCCTCTCTCTTTCTCTCTCTTTATTCTTTCTCTCTCTCTGCCCCCCTCTCTCCCGTTGCTTCTTCTGACCCACATCACTTGAGCAGCACACAGGGCTACAGGCCACGGTCTACAATGCTACGTCTGATCAAAGGAGTTATTTGAAAGTTCACTGCTGCTTTTAACTCTACTTTGTGATGGATATTTGAAAATAACTTTTTTTTCCCGGAGCATTTGAATGGAGCAGAAAGCCACTGAAGTATGGGGGATTGTGTAGATTCAATAGCCTCGGTCCTCGTGACCTTCAAAGTCAGAATAATGTACTTCTATCTCGCACTAGAATAGACGTCATTGTACTAGCCACTGTTATAATGTAGCCTATAACACATAATACATAATCCACATAATTTTATGTGAGTTTTGTTTCTGTTATGTTTTTACCTCGCTTTTTTTTTTTTTTTTTTTTTTTGAAAATAGCGTACACTATCGGACAAAGGTTTTAGAACACCACACTTATTCCAGTTATTTATTGTTGACCAAAACATATTCTAAACTTTTGATTCATGAAAGCGTCCATCTTTGGTCCACCTTTGGCTGAACACACTCGTGGCTCGTTCTTTTTACAATAGAAATCAAATATTCTTCAGAAAGTTCTTCCCAAGTCTGTTGCAGAAGTTCCCATAAATGTGTGGCACTTGTAGGTTGCTTCTTTCACTCTTCTGTCCAGTTCATCCCAAAACCAGCTCGATGGGGCTTAAGTCTGGAGACTGTGCTGGACACTCCATGTTTTCAAGCTCACCATCTTGTTCTTTTTTCCTGAGGTAGTTTTGGCAGAGCTTGGACTTGTGTTTTGTTACTGTTTATCTTTTTTTCTTTTTTTTTTTTACCTCTGGCTGTTCAGTTCTTACCTTTGTACCATTTCAAGCTCTTCATTGGACTTGCACGACTTGAATTGCAATAAATAACTGGAAAAATTAAGGTGTTATAAAACTTTTGACCGGTAGTGTACATGTAAGATTTTGATTTAAAATTTCGTAAACTGTCACCTTATATAAGGTAAACTTGTTCAAATCAAATACACATTTTACTGATAAACAGTATTCAGATTTATTCGTAATTACTAAAACATTGGACATGGTGTCCTTTTCATTTATGCTATAATTTGGTGTTTTGATTTTCAAGATTATTTAAGGCATGGCTTGTCCATATACTGAGAATGAGAAAAACTTGAATGTGTCCTTGATCTGCAGGTGAAGGCAATTGCAACCCAGGTTCAGTTGTGATTGATTCTAATACTTTTTGTAAAATTATAAGAGCGCAGGTCACATACACTTCCTTTAATTCACTGAGCTTTTGTTTGCTTCTTTTGTTTATTTATTTTCCACACATTTTGCTTTTAAAGTTGAACATCTTTTTCTTTCTTTTAACTAGTTTAAACTTTGATGCAATCTGACCACAGAGCATTTCACCTTTACAAGGGGACTTTTGAAAGCAAAGTATTTCACAATGATCACTCATATTAAGCATGCAACTGCAGCCAGTTCACTCACTCTATACCCACACAATAAACTCTCAGTCAGTGAATCTCATCGTACCTGTGAGATCTCACTGGCATCTATCCTTCCTCCGTTATCAGCGTCGAAGCGTTTGAACATCACATCCACCAGCTGCTTCCTGGCACCCATGTCGTCCCGGTGACTCCCGTGGGTGCTGTAGCCCATGTAGCGCTTCTCATGGAGATCCAGCACCTTGTTTTTCAGACGCCTGTAATCGCTCAGTCTGCAGTTGTCATCTGGAATAAGAACAGACAAGAAACATGAATAAAATGGTCCTCTAATCTTATAAAAATGTACAACACTGTCATGTACTGTTCACTTTACACAGAAAGGCTCTATCAGGTGTAGAAACTGAACCAAGACCTGTCAATGTTTGGGGATTTCTACGCCATAAAAACTTGAATTTCCCGACCTGACGAAGCCCAGGTACAATGACGTGTACCTTAACTTTAACACATAATAGCCTCACCCTGAGATACTATTTACAGAAGTAGTAAAATGACCAGTACTTTAAAGTCAGACCAACATTTGCATACATGGACAAGACATTTTGGACAATATTTGATGATAAATGAATTCTGAGTGATACTGAACCTAAGAGTACCAACTCACCATAAACCACACTTTCTTTGTTGTGGCACTTCTGGTTGAGTGGGAATCCAATTCATTTAAAGGGAGAATTTAATATAAAGTAGGTTGATTTGTGTAGTAAGTAAATTCCCCTACGGATCAATAAAGTTTGTCTAAGTCTAAGTCTAATTCTCTGGCTTTAAAACAGCTTTATAGTCCATATAAAATGTATTAGTTGCCAAGACCAGCAGCCCCATGCAAAATAATACTGTAAAATCCCAATGACGATGGTGGCGCCCACAGCAACTTCCTGAATAAGTTGAATACCTGAACATTATGACCTCAGTTTTGTTCTAGGCAATGATCAGAACTTATAGCCAGCTATAACCAAATTTTAACCAAAAACAATCAATAAGAACTGCAGTTTGAGCCGTATTCTAGCCAAACAAGGCTGCAAAACAAGCTAGAAAAGAATGGGATTGTATTATATTATTCATGTAAACGCAAGGACTATGTTAATAGTATGGAAATGTTTTGTGTTTTTCTACTAAAAATAGAATTAAGTGCAAAAGGGTTTGACAGAGCTAAGCCAAGGTGACTGAATAACATTAGCTTCATAATCCTTATACAGAAAAATTAACATTATATATTGATTGTTTTACAGGAATTAACATAAATTCCTAAGATAATATTTAAAAACTAGAAAAGCACTCAGAGAGCGCAGACCTCTGCCAAGGACTACCCCCATTTTTTATATAAATTGCGATAAAATCAGTCTTCTGGATCAGATCCGGATCAGCCTTTGGAATATGAAAGAGGATCCCATTGTCCATCCCTGAGTCAGATTTCATGGGGTTTGGTCAATAATTAACCGAGATATTGAGAAACAAAATTTTTGGCCCCATTTACCACAATGTTAACAAAAATTTCAAAGTGATCCAGAATCCAGGATTTCTTCCGGATCACCCCCAAAATTAAATCACTTCTTCCTTTTCACATTTCCAACAAATCCTGAAAATTTCACCAAAATCGGTCCATAACTTTTTGAGTTATGTTGCTAACAGACAAACAAACAAACAAACAAACAAACGCCGGCAAAAACATAACCTCCTTGGCGGAGGTAATGAGAAAATTATTTTTCTTTTAGCTATAATTAGAGGTGAGCAGTTGCATTTACTCAGTTACATTTACTTGAGTAACCTTTAAAGAAATTGTACGTTTCAGAGCAGCATACTTTTATTCAAACTTGAGAAATATTTTTATTGAAGTGACAGTACCCTTGAGTAAATGTTTTGGTTACTGTATTTTTCGGACTATAAGTCATTTAGATTTAGTGATTTGGAGTGAGATCGAGAGTTTGGTAAACTTGTTATGTTGTTTATGCTGTAGTTATCTGAATAACTGTTCATATGTTACGTTAATAATCTGTTGTTCTCTGTTCTATTGTTATTATTACTACTATTATTACTTAGCCTGATTCATCAAGTCTACTTCAAGTCAAGGGTCGTCTCTTCAAAACAGAAAAACTGCCATTACTGTTTTTTTTAATGATTAAACTACTGTTAAACTCCTGATCATTAAAACAACATTAAAATAAATTCCATCAAAATTTTCTCCCAATCATAAACTTCCTCAGCTTTTCGCAAATTCCCTATTCATCTTCCACTTCTTCTCTATAATACAAGATCTTATTTTCCTAAGCAGTGCCACTCACGGCGCTAGCTAGCACCTCAACAACAAATAAAACAACAACAAATCCATCAAGCGTGTGTCAAAACCGGGCATGACAGCTAGAGACAACACAAGGCTTCCCATCTACATGGGTACATGAAGGGTCTGGGGGAGTGAAGTCGCAGCAAAGTGAGAATAATGACTAGAACTATGGGCTGGCTCATGTCAACTCACTGCTGTTAGATGCTGCTATATTAATAATGCTTATGTTAGATAGTGTCAAGCACAGCACAGGAGAAAAGAATCTGTGGTGCAGAGTTGCAGTGGGCGTCTCAGGGGAGAGCCACGCTCCATATGCTATAGTGTGATCACCTGTTTAAAAAGAGAAATGTGAAAATGGTGTCAGAAGATGTAAGCAGATGTAGATCAGATGAAAATAAAGCAGGGTAATGAGGCCTGTGCTGGGAAATGCTGAGGAAGAAAAAGGTAAAAGCAACTGCGAACTATGTTGGACCAATAGACCTTTTTTACAACCTCAGGAAGTGCCGCGATGTAGGGGAAACATCACTTGCAGTTAATGGTTTTCTATAGCAAAATATTTGTGGAAATGTCTCATGTATTTTCCACCAGCTTCATAAATCTGCCCCATCACCAAATCTTCATCCAACAAGGTCGACAAAGGACATATTCTGTCCATGAAGAACTTGTCCACAACTATCAAGGTAAGAAAGACGAAAACTTAAAAGCCAACAACGACCAGCATTAGTGAACTACTCCTAACCAAAACTAACATTATGGTCATGGATAAAACATAAGTAACTTGTTCAATCAGACTGCACAAATCTCTCTGTCCCTGCTAATATCTACATCATGAAATACATTTTTAATTTTAATTCTAGAATCAGTCTGCGTTCACAAGTTACTTATTAATGAATTATGGGGCAGATTTATGAAACTGGTGGAGAATGCACGAGACATTTCCACAGTCATTTTGCCATAGAAAAGCTTTAACCGGAAGTGACGTTTAACCTACATTGCAGCACTTACGGCCGTTGTGAAAATGATCAATGGACCACATGTTTCTCTTACAGGTCAATCCATCAGTCAATCACTCCTTCTGTAAATCACAGAGAGAAACTATGCTTCTAAACTAAAGCCATGTTGTGTAGTCATGACTTGTCAAACAATAAAATCACATTCGAGAATCAAGTACACAGCTAAAGTTAGGTAACCACAGCATATTGTCAGTACAGATGTATGAACGTGCTGAATAGTTGTTGAAACAAAAGTGACTTGTCCTGTTCAGTCCAACAGCTAAATATCTAACTCTAAAGGATTTCTTTATTGGATGTCATCACATGTGGCAAGCTGTTCTGACAAAATACTAAGGTATTAGTTTCAGTTTCAGAGCAATTTTGTGAGTTTCATCCAAAAACAGGCACAGTAGGAGAAAAGCAATGGTAGAGGTTTTCTCGTTCAGGAAAATACCCTTTACTCCCTGGAGTGTCTGGCCAAAAGTTGGACAATTTATAGTAATTTTATTTCACGAAAACTAAATGGAAGGAATCAAAACATAAGTCTGACACTAATACTGTTATCATCTCAAAAAAGTAAATTTTCTTTAACATTTCCTCTGTTTGCACAGTTGCAGATTCACATTTCTGCCACAGGATCAGCCCAACCTGCTTAAGTAATCACACTGCACTTCCATCTTGATTCTTAGTGATTCACAGTCCATCATTTGAACATGAGAGAGTGTGGGGTCAGGGAAAACCTGGAAGAACTCAGCAAGGTAAGAAGTAATTTTGAACTCATTCTCCCACCTGCCTCACACCAAGATATCGACAAGAGAAGTGCAACGTTTTATCAGCGTCCTTGGCTCCGTTCCACTTCGAAATCTAAGAGTAAAATCAAGGTTACAAAATGCGATACGACTGTGTTGGTATTCTGCAAGTAGGCTCAGAGAATTATGATGGAAATTGGAGTCAAATTTGAAACACTGCAACAAATTAGAAGTGTTTGAAATAAGAGGTCGTGGTCATGTTCACAAATTTGGTAAAAATTCTGATGGAGAACAATGGCCAAAGGAGGAAAAAATGACACACTGAGCCATTACTTTCATGTTGTTACCCCAAAAATTTTTACTGTTTTTCTGTTTTTGTTTTTAAGATTAATTCTATTGGTTAATTGCCATAAGGGGAGGTATTATACAAAATTAGTAGAAGCACAAAGTAGTGGTGAAATTACTTGAGAGCTTTTGGTGTGTGTGTTTAAGGTATTCTACTCACTAACTACTGCTCAGGTAAGAAAAAATTGGATGAATAAAATCATTTGAAAGTTTATAAAAATGATACACCATATCTGGTATTTTCAAAGAACAAAACATAAAAATTAGTAAATCATATCTGACAAGCGGTGCAAGAAATCTTCTTCAATCATTTATTGCTCACAGTGGGAAGAGGAACCAAAACTCAAGTTAAGCCAGCTGCAACTAGAGAATTTTAAACCTGATTGGTAAAATGGGGATTTTTGCCTTTTGTTATTGCTCGGTGTGTTGTTGGCTACATTAGTATAACCGATGATCCCAATGCATCTGAATAGTAGCATGATGACAGGTATTGATAACTTTACTGATAACTACATGTATCTCTATGGTGGCATGTACAGCAGGTGCCATAGAGACACTGTGCACACATCAGTAAATACTATCAAAAGTTTTTGTCCAAAAAATACAAAATGGACTTAAACAAAGCATTTTCAGAAGCTCGTGATGGGGTCCAATGTCTATTCTAACGTCACTTCATTACGATACACCTCTATTTAGACGGTGCCGGTATTACAACACTTTTTAGTATCATTATTCCTTCACATCACAATAGTCTAAATGAAATAAATAGGGGCCTAATGCGTATAATAAATAATCAAATTTCATCGTCATATGCAGGTAGTCAAATGTGTGTTTTGGAATGCCAGAGTGTCATCTCACTGAGCTCCT